TCCGGGGCCCCCCCCCCAAGTTCCCTTATTTTACCCCAAAGCCGTAGAGACTCGGAGACGGCCGCTCGGCGATGGGCACCTTCGCTACTCCACAGCCAGTGCTGGTCTCCACCACAAGCCTGAGTCCTGGCAGAGAGATTAAAGGGTCGCGGCTCGGACCCTGAGCCAGGATCAAAGGCCTCCATTCCAGCATTCCTGGGGCCTTCACCGTGTCATCACGCTGGCTTGCAAACCCTCTATTTTGCAGAGGGGGACGCAAAAGTGACAGGTAAAGAGGCTTCTGCAGTAAGAGCAGACAGTGGGCCAGCACCTCCCCGGCAGGGCGCTGTGCCCAGGCTCTCGGGTACTGTCTGACCAGCCCCTCTGAGGACGGCCTGTTCACTGTTTATCTCCACGCAGGTGAGAGCAGGAAGGGTGGAGAGGTAGGCAGCGTGCCCAAGGCCCCCGGGCTGGGGAGCCGAGCCGGCGCTCAGATCTGCCGTCTGCTGCACAGCCGGCTTTCTGCCTGAGTGCAGCCCTTCGCTGCCTTCTGCCACCTTCATCCTTCGTGCCAGTCAGAAATGGAGCTTGGCCCTCGCAGAAGGAGGCTGGGCTGTGCCTCTTCCCGCTCCAGCTGGTGGGCTCTGTCCCACTCCCTGTGCCCAGAATGGGCAGGCTCCCCAGTGGGTGCCCAGTGAAGGCCCTGGCTTCCGCCCCAGCCTGTGGGCCAGTCACCTTGCCCCCTGCTCGCCCCAGGAGCCAAGAGCCAACTGAGTGTAAGGGGCAGCAATAGGGTACCTCTCTGAGCCCCAGAAATGGCTGACAGCTGGTGGTAGGGGGACAATACATGGGAACATCTGGCTTGGGACGAGGTCCTTCCAGCTGTCTGGCTGTGTGGTGGGACCACCGCTGCTGGCCTCCCAGATGCTCAGACAGAGGTGCGACAGCTCTGTGATGGGTCCTTTGTGCACACGCCACAGGCTTCAGGTGGTTCTTGGTGCTCGGACGGAATGGGCTGTCCCCTGCCCGACATCACATTTCCGCTCCCTGACGCTTTCCCAGGAAGAAGCGATGGCTCCTCTCTCTCACTTTATTCCAATTTGGACTTGGGTCAGTCAGTCCAGCTGAAGGCCCCACGTGCCTGGCCCTGGACTGGACTCTGGGGAGATGGGCAGGAGGGCGGCTTGTCTCCCTCTCGCCATGGTCCAGGCTGGGAGAAGTGGCCAGCACGGCTGGCATCTGGGGGAGTAACACCTTGAGAAGGTGCCCTGACTGACCCTCCAGGGCTACCCCCCACCCCACCATCCCTTCCTTGGAGCCCCTCTTCCTACTCCTACCCTGCTATTCCCCAGAGCACCGCCCAGGCTCCCTGGTGCTCTTGTCTGGGTTTGAGCTCCCAGAGGTTGGGCACCCAGCAGGAACAACATGACCCAAGGATGGACTCCATTCGCTGGTTCTCTAGACCACGGGCTGGGACAGGTTGTCCCCGAGGGAGACCCTGGGGGCAGGGGTGGCATTCCCTGAAGGGACAAGGCCACCTCGTTCTCAATCATCCTGGATACTGTCAGCCTACAGGGAGGAGGGAGGCCTTGGCGGTGGGCCTCAGAAGGTGGGGGCTGCTTTCTCTCTTCGGCTTGAGGAGCAGAGGCTGAGACCAGGGGAAAGGGCGGCTGATGGCAGCGAGGTCAGCTGTCCCTTGCCATGGGCTTGGCAACGAGCTGTCAGCATGGGCCCATGTCCATTTAGGGGAGACCCACTTCATAATCTCCCTTCTTCTCTTTGGGGCCAGTGGCAGTTCTCAGCTCCATCCTAACCCACCGCAGGCCTGCTGGATAGGAGCAGCTGTCCACATGGCACGAGGTGACCCTCTGAAGGGAGACTGGAGCCAGAAAGCTGGCAGAGAGGACAAGGTCTGGCCAGGTGCCCTAGGAGGGGGACATCTATGGACATTTCCTGACAAAAGTATGGCTTCCTGTGCCTTCCTGTACTGGGGACGCAAAGCCCTGGAATTTTATATTCAAAGAAAGTGTCCCCTGACTGAGACATTGGACTTCAGGGGACTGTGAGGGCAGGAAGCTCTGCCACCGGGCCATGTGATCTCGACCTGGCCGTATCCTCTCTCTGGTCCTCCTTCGTCTCTCTGGGCTGCTGTGACCAAATGGAGTGACAGACGGGAAGGAGCTTGGAGGCAGGGTCTGCTCTGGACACAGGTAAGAGGCTGAGCTGTGCACAGGGAGCAGAGCCATGAACCCGCCAGGCTAAGGTGGCGTCATCCTCAGGGGCTCTGTCCTTGGGGGAGAGACAGTGATGGAACCCAGTAGCCATGAAATGCAATGGTGACAAGGAGTCTGAGAAAGGACGGGGGTCCAAGGGACAAGTCTCTTGTGAAATGAGAGACGTCGAAGATGTCCCTAGGGAGGAATCCAAGCTGAGCCGTGAAGTCCATCAGGAGAAGAGAGCCCAAGGCCGCTGCAGTGCCGGAGGGACCAGAGGCAGGAGGGACAGCGGCAGAGCAGTCTGGGGGCAGGGGGGTGGGCGGGAGCGCACACAGGTCACCACCGCAGCTGAGCTGTGCACAGGGAGCAGAGCCATGAACCCGCCAGGCTAAGGTGGCGTCATCCTCAGGGGCTCTGTCCTTGGGGGAGAGACAGTGATGGAACCCAGTAGCCATGAAATGCAATGGTGACAAGGAGTCTGAGAAAGGACGGGGGTCCAAGGGACAAGTCTCTTGTGAAATGAGAGACGTCGAAGATGTCCCTAGGGAGGAATCCAAGCTGAGCCGTGAAGTCCATCAGGAGAAGAGAGCCCAAGGCCGCTGCAGTGCCGGAGGGACCAGAGGCAGGAGGGACAGCGGCAGAGCAGTCTGGGGGCAGGGGGGTGGGCGGGAGCGCACACAGGTCACCACCGCACCAGTCGTCGTCACAGCCACCATGAAGGTGTGGGGGCTGAGGGGGAATGGGGCAGGGGAAGGAGACTGGAGGGGCGCTCAGTGAGCCAGGGCAGCCCTTCTCCCCTGGAGTCCTGTGCCCCATTACCTGCATCACCACACCCTCAGCTGGGGCCGGGGCCTCTACACGTCAGAAGGCAGCGGGGCAGACCTGTGCAAAGGTAGGTCGCCCTAGGCGTCCTTCCAGAAATACTAGCCAGGACCTCTCCTGCCCTGAGAGCTGAGGAAAGGGGGTTACAGCAGGGCATTGAGAGGCGAGCAGGTTCCCCACGTGGGGCAGGGGAGGGAGGGCAAAAGGCAGGTACCGAGGGCTGTGAGGTGAGATGGGCTCTCTGGAGCTCAGCCAGGCTGGTGTCCCCAGAAGTGGGATCTGCTGGAGGTGGAGCTCAAGGGGGCTCTGAGCTCT